TACAAATTTGAATTTCGAAGATATGTTAAGTCCGCCAATCCGTAGTGGGGTCGCATGGTGGACTATGCCCTGATACAGTGACGGCCTTTGCCCAGCTGTGGGACATGTATAGCCTGCTACTTTACTGTACTTAACATTTTACTTTTATAAGAAAGAAATTGACATCGATGTGTCGTATTCGTCTGGGTTACTTTAATGTACTTAAATTTTACTTTAATAAGAAAGAAGTTACAATCGATGTGTTGTATTCCTGTGGGTTTGCTTATTATCTAAGCTGGTTATTCGACCTCGTGTGACCGATTGCGGACGAGCGTCTGTGGTGGCACCAGGGTCTGATGAACCACATATCGGACGATGTCGTCGAAGGTAATAGCAGTTTGGCGTCGACTCATTTTTTGTACTCGATTTCCCTCGCAGTTTTTGTATCGCGTAATGTTGCGTAATATTGCAAGCTGTTTTTACTTTTAAAATATTGATAACTAGCGTGACCGACAAACGTTGTTTAAATATTATAAACTACTAGTTTTTCGCCCGCGGCTTTGCTCGCCTTTTTTTTTTTAAAAATCCAAGTAAAAATAGCCTATGTCCTTTCTCAGGCTCTGTGTAACAAATTCCATTTAAATCTGTTCAGTAGTTTTAGAAAGCGAGACAGGCAGAGTTACTTTCGCATTTATAATATTAGTATGGATTACAAATTGTTATTATAAATTATTTATAGGGAATTTGTAGGGTAGATAAAAATGTTTTGGGTGGACCACCCTTATTCTTTTCTTTTCTATTCTTTTCTAATTAGAAAAACATTGCCCTTACTTTAGGATAACATTATCCTGTGTTGTAGGGACTATCACTTAGGGGTATGGGATAGATTATGACCGATTCTCAGACCTACCAGACATACCTATAAAATATCATAAGAATCGATCAAGCCATTTCGGAGAAATATGGAAACTAACATTGTGACACGAGAATTTTATACATATATCTTCTTTATATATATATATATATATATATATATATATATATATATATAAACGTACAGAAGAATTATATATATATATATATATATATATATATGTATATATATATAATTCTTCTGTACGTTTGTATGGCACTGAACTCCTAAACGGCTGGACCGATTTTAATGAAATTTTTGTGTCTTCAGATCGAGTGGAGAATGGTTTAGATTCACAATTCGTTACACTAATATTTTATTATGTTTTTATTTCTAAGTTTTCGAATTTAAGAATTTAAGTCGTGTGTACAGGACAACGTCTATCCAGTTCGCTAGTATAGATATAAAGAGGCATTATTTGTTTTATGCAATGTTTAATCTACTAAAATGCTGAAGAGGTTTTAAACTTTAGAAATAAATTTTAAGTCGTCTAATTGCTACTCACTTATCATGTCCTATGCGAAACAAAGCTAAACAGCCATTGTATCTGTCTTAAGAATAGGTTAATTTTCATAATTATTATTATAATTTGTTTTAATGTTTACTTATTGAAGAGTTTTATTTAAGTAAGTGAAATCTAAGCAATCCAACTTAGCACACATTGATCTTTTTCAATTGCGGCTATACTACTCTTAAACTTGTTGGCTCGTTTAATCGAAAAAGCGTTAAGAATGTCACAAGATACATTGTCGTTAGCTAAAGTTATCAACTTCCTTGATACATAGTCATTATCTAAGTTTAATAGGTTTTATAAAATTAATTATAACTTTTTCATTCAGTATAACATCTGCGTAAAGTTTTCTTTCCCCTGCATGACTAAATTGTTTGATGACTCCGTGGCGCAGTTGCCAAGGCATTGGCTTCGGCGTCGGGGGTCGTGGGTTCGATTCCCACACGGGACAGCTATTTGTGTGACCCATAGGAAGTTGTTTCGCATCTGGATCTTTGTCCGCGTGAAATTTATGTTTGTAAAACGTCCGTGCAACACAGGATAATGTTAACTTAAAGTAAGAGCAAGGTATTTTTAAAAGAAAAAAAAAAATACTCAATCGTACTATTGTCATCGCGATGCGTATATTTTCAGTTAATCTATCGTTTGAGCGCCGGAAAGATGCTATTTATTATTCAGCTCTTTCGTCCGTTATTAACTGTGGCGCGGTGACATAAAGTCATCGAGAATCTGGGAAGTGGACTGAATCGGCATCGTTTCCTCTCATTTCGCACAGCTTGCGTAAAACGGTGGTCGGGCCTTACACTTTTAGCTACGGGCTGTTCAAATTTATCGTGATTTCTTGATGGCCACAGTATTTCCTCATTATTAAGTGGACATGTGGACCTTAATACGTTGTAAATGTGTCTCTTTGTCAAATAATGGTAGAAAAAACTGTTCCGCTGGGATTGTGTCGTCGGTTCTTCTCGGGTCAGTGGCTTCTTTCCGAACCGGAATTCTTGCACTTCATGCCATTCTTCTGTGAGCCCGTGGCCAGTGACCCGGACCAGCCAGTCCAGTGCACCTACTTTTTGTTGTCTCTGATAACGAATAACCTATAGTCTACTGTGTTTTATACCTGCATCACTACATAGTATAAAACAAAGTCGTTCCGCTGTCTGTCTATGTATGCTTAGATCTTTAAAACTACGCAACGGATCTACATGCGGTTTTTACTAGATAGGTTGATTCGAGAGGAAGGTTTATATGTGTAATACATTGCATCCGCGCGCAGCCGGGGCGGGGCGCTTGTATTAGATATGATGCATAATATATTGTGTTTGTATCCATTGTGCTTAGACCGTAAATAAACGTTTCTTTTTCTTCTTCTTTTTGGATTCCGCTTTGTAGGAAACATTTTATTCTGGCTTACTATTATGTCCATCTATAGAGACGTCTTTTTCTAGAAAACGGGTTGAATGTAGTTGAATATATGTTCAATATTGAGGTTTGCGGTCACCTGGCGGTGCATCTGCGTAGAATAGGCTGCAGGCGAAAAATAGAATATAGAATATAGACAGAAAGACAACATGAAATATGTATATAAATTATAGCCTATGTGTTATTCTAATGTATGAGCTATGTTATTGTAAAGTTTCATTAAAATCCATTCAGTAGTATTTGCGTGAAAGAGAAACAAACATCCATCCATACAAACAAACTTTCGCCTTTATAATATTAATAGAAATAAGTAAGCAATGCGTTCTAAAAATACAGTCATTTATGTCGCGCATTCTGACAAGGGCAAGTTCGATCATCAAAGCCTACAAGGTACTTCGCGTGAATACAAAATCTTGGAATTTGTCGATGAACAAGATTGCACAGCATAAGCTGGTAGTAATTTCCAACATTGATAATTTGTAAACAATAAGGTTTACTTATTTTCGATTATGTCATAAGATTTAGTTATCTCCATTTCTTTTTAGATTTTCACTCGCGCTGATTTCTCTTGATCTTTCAATTTATAAATAACGTAATGTAATGTAATAAAAAAATGTTTTTTTTTTATTTCTTTCTTTAATACTCCGTCTCAAACTAGGTACATTTAAAAAACTGTTAAAGTACCTTATATCACTGTTTCTATAAAATTTAATATGTGATAACTAAGATAATACATGCCAATTTTATCTGTTACCATAATTGTGCTGTTAATTATGTATTTGCATAAACGTACATTAAATACATAACTTACACACACAAGAGTTCTGCGCGGTTATAATTCACGGTATGGTATGTGTTTCGCAGAATAAAAGTAAAAGTACTGCATAAAATATATATTAGGCAACAGAAAATTGAACACTCTGTATAAGCACCGTTCCGGTCCAATTGTCCGTGTTGCCCGACAATTGTGGCCGCTTATGTAACACCCTGTAGCAACTGTTACTATTCGATCTCCATCGGCGTGGTTACGTGTCGCCTTATTTCCCGAAAACCGTTCGTCGTTCGTATTCTCTGTCACGGTCGTTTGCGAAATCTCCATTGTCTATGACTGATGGCTTACGTCACGTCGATTGATTTTGTTGTCATGGTTACGAGTCAATAATGACCTCTCCCACTAGTTTAGGCAAAAAGATAGTAAAGCGAATCACTACGTAGTATAAAACAAAGTCGTCCTGCTGTCTGTCTGTCCCTATGTATTATACATATAAAACTTCCTCTTAAATCACTCTTTATAGTAAAAAAAAACCGTACAAAATCAGTTACATAGTTTTAAAGATCTAAGCATACTTAGGGACAGACAGACAGCGGGTCGACTTTGTTTTGTATTATGTAGTGATACATTGCACCCGTGCGAAGTTGATGGATCGCTAGTTCTATATAAACTTACAAAACTAATACAGTACACTTCCTCTTTCTCCTGCACATATCCCTTGGTGAAAAAGCACAAAAAGTGGACCATGATGGCTCTTGATCTTGCTCTTCACTTGCAAGTCCCCTGCTGCTGATATCATACCTAACCAATTTTTTATACATCGAAAACATAAAAAGACCACAAAGTTACTTGTTTTATGTGAAAAGGTAGCAAGGAGTTGGACATTCGTCCGATTTTAAGCGATAACAACCGCCCATGGAAAATTGCAACACCAGTACGGTTGTAGATGCGTTGCCACCTTTTAATAATGTAGGCCAGCAACAGTCACCAGACGAAACGCAGAAGTATACCACATCCACTTCAAGACTGTGTTCTTTGAGGTCATTGTACTTCCCCTTACGGACCTGCCCATTTGTGCAACATCGAAGGATGTTCCGATGCGAGCGTTTTTACTCACGTTTTTTTTGTATGGTAAAAAAGCGGCATACGAGCAGGAGGCTCACCTGATGGTAAGTGATCACTGCCCCCATGGACATGTGCAACACCCGAGGGCGTACAAATGCGTTGCCGGCCTTTTAGGAAAGAGTATGCTCTCTTCTTGAAGGTTCCCCGGTCGTAACGGTCCGGGAAGACCGCCGGCGGCAGCTCGTTCCACAGAGTGGAAAATTTTTTTTTCACGTCTGCCATGAAACCTACTTCCCGGGAGGGGCCGCGCTCTCACGAGAAACTACCGCATGATAAAGTTATATGAAGAGGATGCGTAGCCTTGCCGCGGCATTAACAAGCGTCGTGCGAACCGTCAGCCCCGAACCGGTGTCGGGATCCGCGCCGGGCCCCACTTGCGCCGGTGGTCCGTGACTAAAATACGCAGAATCCGCGCGGCCGACTGTCGAAATCCGCGCACAATCGTTCCGCGAAACGGCCCGCCATTGTCGGTGGTCGGCATTTCGCTGAGCAAGCACCGTCCATTCATAAGCCGCGCTCGATTCCCAGATGGGGTATTTGCCGTGAGCGCGTTTAGGCTTCAACGGCACTGGCCATAATTAAACGTGATTTAAAAGTGATTTTTACGGAATCAATCAAATATGACACAATTCAGTCTGAACAAATAAAACTAACATTCTAAATTTAATTTAAAGTAATTCAAACATAATACATAAACCAAGAAGATCAGAGTTGATATAAAAAGAGTATGTATAATCTGAGATTACCAATCAACAACTGCTGCATGCATTGCCGGATTAACCACAGCAAGAGTAGTAATTGCTACGGGCCCAAAGGGGGCCCCGCATATTCAAACCCACTAATCTCTGCCTAAGCCTTAAGTTTTTGAAACTTATTAAATAAGTAAGAGCATTGAATTGTTCTTTGACCGGCTGTTCACCTGGTGTTAAGTGATAACCGCCGCCCATTAACATTTGCAACAGCCGAAGACGAGCAGATGCGTTGCCATCTATTAATAAAGTGCCCATTCATGCGACGAAAAGAATGTTTCGTGGCCCTACCGCTGTTGGACAGTCTTATTTATTAATTACTAGCTGACCCGGCAAACGTTGTTTTGCCATATAAGTTATTTCTAGAGGAATCGGAACGCACGCATAAAGTGTTTGACAGGTTACACAGACATAATTGACAGGAAAATAAAATTGTTGTTGTTTCGGTTTTCCGTGCAATTTTTTCATAATTTCTCATCGTTTACCTTCCCTGGAATGCCACAAATATTTCAAAACCAAAATTAGCCAAATCGGTCCAGCCGTTCTCGAGTTTAACGAGACTAACGAACAGCAATCCATTTTTATATATAAGAAGATAATAGATTTACCAGCTGTCAAACAGATTTCAAAGGACATTTGAAAATCTATTTGACAGCTGGTTAGTTGACTTCTACGATGAGCAGTGTTTCAGAAACCGGGCGTGAATAGTTTAAATCATAATTCGGCCTTAAATTATTTATGAAGACTATTGCGTGGCCCTAACACAGCACATATTGGCGAAGCTCACGATTAGCTTGCAATCTGTAAAGAAAATTCGTAATACAATCTAAGGCACACATGGTGCCTTTTCCCAAAGTTGCGTTTATCGAAACGTTGGCATAAAGAAGAATTTGTTTGCGGCCGTTAAAGTATAGTAATAATAAGGGCTAAGCCACAAATACTGTTTCTTCCTGAAGCTGGGTTTGTCGAAACGTTGGTCAAACACGTGAGAATTAATAGTCCGTAAAGTAAATTCATACAGACTAAGGGACATATACTGTCTCTTGCTGTAGCAGCGTTTGCCAAACGTTGGCCAAACTTATTTAGATTCCGGGCGTTAAATTGTGGTAGTAATAAGGCATATAGATTGTCTCTTCCTAAAGGTGCATTGGTCGAAACGTTGCCCAAACACACGATTTCTTTGCAATTTGTAAAGTAAATTCTTAATACGACCTAAAGGATTCATACTAACTTTTCCCGTAGCTGGGTCTGTCTTAACGTTGGCCAAACTCGCACTTAGATTGCCTTAAGTTAAATTGTAATAGTAAGATGACTTAGATGACTCCGTGGCGCAGTTGCCAAGTTATTGGCTTCGGCGTCGAGGGTCGTGGGTTCGATTCCCACACGGGACAACTATTTGTGCGACCCGCAGATAGTTGTTTCGCATCTGGGTGTTTGTCCTCGTGTAATTTGTTTGTAAAACGTCCTTACAACACAGGATAATGTTATCCTAAAGTGAGGGCAATGTTTTTTTTTAAATAATTAAGAATTAATAAGGACTACGGCACACAGACTGTCTAGATTCTCGAAAGTTTGTAATAGTTGTTAAGTAGATACTAACTTAGATGACTCCGGGTTGTCTAACGTTGCCAAACTCGACTTAGTTGCCTTAAGTTAAATTGTAATAGTGACTTAGATGACTCCGTGGCGCAGTTGCCAAGTTATTGGCTTCGGCGTCGAGGGTCGTGGGTTCGATTCCCACACGGGACAACTATTTGTGCGACCCGCAGATAGTTGTTTCGCATCTGGGTGTTTGTCCTCGTGTAATTTATGTTTGTAAAACGTCCTTACAACACAGGATAATGTTATCCTAAAGTAAGGGCAATGTTTTTTTTAAATAATTAAGAATTAATAAGGACTACGGCACACAGACTGTCTAGAACTAGATGAAGTCTCTGACGCTGCACTTGTGGCCGAACACACGATTAGTTTGCAATCTGTAAAGTAAATTCTGAATAAAAACTAAGTAAGGGGTACAATTCAAACTAAGTAAGTACACGTACTAAATTTCCCGAAGCGGGGTTTGACTAAACGTTGGCCAAACATATTTAGAATGCCTTACGTTAAATTGTAATAGTAATAAGGGCTAAGGCACACAAACTCTCTGGAACTAGACGAAGTTTCATTCTGATGCTGCGCTTGTGTCCGAACACACGCTTAGTTTGCAATCTGTAAAGTAAACTCTGAATACGAACTAAGTAAGGGGTACAAACCAAGTAAGTACCTACACGTAATAACTTTCCCGAAGCGGGGTTTGTCTAAACGTTGGTCAAACACACATTTAGATACGAACAGAGTCTCTATTCCCGAAGCCGCGTTTGTCTAAACGTTGGCCAAACACGGGCGCAGTTTGGGGCCGCGTCAAGCGAGTTTCCCGGTCGGAGGCTGCGCGGGCGTCGGTCGCCGACCCGCCGTCCTTGCACGTGCGACGGCACAGGCGGAGGCAATATTGACGCCCGCAATTATGCCAATCAATTAAGTATAGTACGAAAGAACTATATAGGAAAAGCTCACAAGCTATATTATACTAGACAATTTAAAATTAAGTAATAAATTTTTATAGATTTTATAGTACATATACGTAAATTTAAATTGTTGCGTAGTAAATTAATGATACAAAACATGTTAAGTATTTACATTAAGGTGGGGGCTATAATAGATTGGATTCCACATAATACTACATAATTATAAATTGAGTAGAAATTTTAATTTTCTCGTGTATTTAGTTACGATAAGGCATTTGGTACAATCTCATTAAGAAAATAATTACGAAAATATGCAAGTTTCCTCACGACGTGTCCCTTCACCGCTGAGCATGTGATAGGTCAGCACTTAAAATTAGCAATTTCATTGGTGCTGACATCAAATTTGAACTCAGGTTGCTCGAGTATTTTGAATGATAAGCGAGCGCTCTGACACTGAGCTATCACCGCTATAACATTCACTGCGGCATAAACATCTTGAGCAATATAGATTTGATATGGCTATATTTATCCGTAACAAAAATGCACCGGAGTCCAACATTGCTAGCGGGTGTACACGCTCGTACGTCGACCCATAGGTTGACACTCGCCTATGCAGTTTTCGGTAACAAGACGCCTCTATGCTGACGGCTTATTTAACATCGTTTCGTTGTATTAGAAAACGCTTACCTCAGAGACGGCCTTGAAGTTTCCCAGTACTACCCACATGCCAAGACAAGTTAGATAAAGACAGACGATAGTATACTTCTGTAGACACACTCAAGCAAAATCCATTGTAGATAGGAAACACTTTGCACCGTTAGGAAGTCTTCATAGTAGAAGGGGCTAAATTTAATATCACACAGGCATATTAAAATGTTTTAAACCTTCTTCATTAGCTATCATATTATCCTACCCCCCTCATGGAAGCTTCCGAAATCAATCGAAAATTTAATTAAGAGCCTAATTATGTTACGTTTAAAGACCTCGTCTACAGTGGGTATGGTGACAATCTGTCATATGGCACGTATACTGGTTTCGGATTAATAGTATATGGTATTAATTTGGTATTAATTTTGTCAAGCATGGAAAATCCTCGCAGGAGATTTGATTTTTCATTACTTCGCCGAACAGAGATCACGTTTTACCTATTTATTGAATTTACGTTTACCATCTCCGTATGCATAGTCTCTGATAATCCCTGATTCGGATCCTACAATACTTTAATCGCTATTGTTAGAGTCATAAAATGAGTCCCGAAGTTTTCATCTCATATGTATTTTGAAATCTTGCGAGATCATACGAGCGAGTGCTTATATATTGTCGATTCATTGTACTCTAATATGTCAGAAAGTCTCTTATGAATATGTTGAATATGAGAAACACTTATGAATGTTGCTATCTGTTCTGCTGACTTCGCAAATTAATACCAGTGTTGCCATTGTGAACAGAAATAGTACGAATACGACTGTCGGTGGGTAAAGCAAATGAGCCGGGGGCCGATCGAACCCACGCTCTGCGACAGCGAAGTGTATCGCTCAGCAAATGCACCAATTAACTCATCTTTATCACACGATTAACTCATCACGTGAGTTCAATCCCTAGTTCGAGCACAAGTAAAATTGTTTATTTCAAGTGCTGACTTATCACGTGCTCAGCGGTGAAGGAAAACATCGTGAGGAAACCTGCATATTTTAGAAATTTAATAACAAAAAAGTATTTCGAAGATATTATGTAAAATTCGCCAATCCGCGGCGCTATAATACCCTCTGTACAGAGGAGGAATTTGCCCAGCAGTGGAAAATCTATAGGCTGTTACTTTACAGCGTACTTTATAATGTGCTTCGTGAAATTTAAACCGACACAAGAGGCCACACACCTTTGTCCGTCTCGTGAGGGCTTTATTATTTCACTGTTTCAAATCATACGCATGTGCAGTACCCGCGAAGACTGAATTTATCAATTCGTGACTTAAGTTCTAAATGTCAGCGGCATGACTAATACAGTTCGAATAATGCACAGTTAAAATAAACCGAACTTCAAACCGGTTCCGTTTTATAACAAGATGGCGAAGAGCCCTGTGCTTCCTAAACTTTGTACACTACTCAACGAAAAAAATCCAACCTTACCTGAAACCACAGAAACATAAACGATAAGCTTGTCACCGTCTGACAATGACAAGATACGACGCTAATTGTATGAAACTTCGTTAAAAATCAGAATCAGCCTTTAAAAATAAAATCGCGAATCCTTATAAATGACTGTATAGATAGAGCTGAATACTTAGAAAATGGAAACTATGAAAACGACACTCTCGAAAGCTGTTAACCGTAACAATACCATTCGCAAAGGCTAAAACTAAAGCAAAAACCATACCATCTACTCCAGTAAGGTCGTTAACAGAAAAAAAATACTAATTTCCTCCGTTGTAGTTACAATATTTACGAGAGCAAGGGAGGGACTTTATAGTGTCTAATTTCGACATACGGTAATAAGGGATTTATTATTTCGTGATGATAGACCATGGAAGTATCGAGGTATTTGAATCGCTAATATTGTTGGCCCATCGTTTTCCCTAGACGACTAGTCGTTGTATTTATTAATATACGTACAAGTATTTTAGATAGACATATAGAGGCATCCTGTGTGTTGTGTTCTTTACTGTCCTTTTTTTACTATAGTTTACAAAGGTGTGTGGGTTAGGCATGTTAGTTCAATGTCCAGGTGCTCACTTTTGATAATTATAACCGAGAATACTGAGTTCACCCGCACAGATTAAAAATCTTTTGAGGATTTTAAAAGGTCACTTTGAATAATAAGGAAAATTCTTTCATCCAATAGGGCATCGCTAATTATAACGCATTATTAAAATTTCATGAGTGTAAATTCAAAGAAGTCAAAGGCTCTTTGCATTTTGACTCAAAGAATGGATACATAATGCGTTACAAATACGTTGATAATAAAGAAGAAGACGGACGAATCACAGACAGGTCACGAAATACTCATCATAAAAGTACACTACTAGTTTTGAGAGTTCCCTTACTCCAAAAGAAATGGCCCAAAGGCATTGCACTCCTATCCGGGAAGAGGAAGGGGGAGGGGGGATGCGCAAGCGCCGTTGAATTCCACTATCGCTTTCCGAGCTTTCTTCCGCCCCCAGCAACCTTGGAAATTCGGCACAGGGCACGCGTGGAGTGGGCTTTTGCGTTTTGTTCTCATAAGTAGTTTGTGTGTTGGTTTATTTTTACTATCGATTTAATTCACGTAACCATCGTTTACGTTTAATAAGTTTTCTTACACTTGGAATAAAATGTGGATATAATTATTGTTTTATAGTCTTTATCGTTACCCTAATGATCTCAGACCGTAAGATCAAGCTGTTTTTTTTTGGCTTTTTGACTCAGTAAATTGAATTTCTATCCTACCTACAGACGTAGGCACACATGAAGAAGGTGAAAACGGTGTTTGTAAAAAAAATCATATGGACGTTCACAGCGTTGCTACCTAGGAGTAAACACATGAGACTTTCCAGCAAAGGTAGTGCCACAAAATTTCGGCTGTTGCACGAATGGGCAGGCTCGTCTACATAGCAGACCAGCGTAAGGTAGAAGTAGTTTTATATGCTTATATCTCGTCTGATCAGTGAGTCAACTACGGCCCTCACTTTTAAAGGTATCAACACGTGAGGACACCGCTGATGTGCATTAGCGGTAACCGCTCAACACCAGGTGAACCTACTCGCTGCCATCACGTGAAAAAATGCCGAATTTTCTAAGCGACAGCCGCTCCACAGCGCTCGCTGTCCCCGCAGGAGTGAATGAACGAAATGGGCGAGATGGTTTTCGACTAATACTTTCACCGGGGTTAAGGGCCTGCGCCGAGGCCCTTGGCACCGCTCAGTGCGATGCACTTATCTGCAGCCGAACTTCTGTGCGCCCGGTCTATGCGCGCCTGGTGTCAAAGACCGGAGTAGCGAAAGCTCTCGACTCTGTCGCGCCCTCAACGCGAGGCTGTTAAGGTTTTTATATACCATATTATATATATCCTTACTAATATTATAAAGGCGAAAGTTTTTTGGATGGATGGATGTTTGTTACCCTTTCACGCAAGTACTACCGGATGAATTTTAATGAAACTTTACAAAAATATAGCTTATACATCAGAATAACACATAGGCTATAATTTGTATACATATTTTATATATATCTGTCTTTCTGTCCGAATGTTACGCCTTCAGCCTATTCTACGCAGATGTAGTCGCGGGCAGCAGCTAGTATACCATATGTTGCATACCACGCCGTTGTTAGACAAAGATTTAAATCATCGCGTGTATTTCTTACAACCTGGTGTTGGAGTGATTCGAGATCTTAGTTTTTCTCCTTTGTTTTATAATAATTCGATATTTTTCGGTGAACTTGCTAGTAGACGTTTCATCAGAAATATAAATATAAAGCCTTTTAAAGGTTTATTGTGGATAATCGAAATTAATTTGAAACAAGTAATTTGGATGGAAAGTATCAAATAGTATATCAAAGACTTTTAATGTCAAATAATTATGTTAGCAAATTAGTAAAGCTTATCGTGTTTGAATTATAAAATTTCTAATCTTATAATATATCTTTAATATATTACCTTAAAAAAAGTGATTTTGTAAAATAAAAGTTTGTTTATTATTTATCAAAAAATTTTAACATATTTTTGTAGTTAAGGACTTGCCTATAATGAAATTAATGAAGAATCATCACAAAGAGACTAAAACGTTCGAAATATCTAATTCGAATTTTTGAAATTAAAAAACGTAATCATATTTAACTCTTTTATCTATTATATATGTAGTTGTTTTTGAGTTCACAACAGCTTTCCAAAAATCCACAAATAGAATTTCATCATTATCATTGATATATATCGATGAGCTTGCATCATATTACAAGTTAAAAATTGTCAATCTTAGATTACTAAGACATATAACAGAGGATTATGAAATAATAATTAAAACTTATTTTAACGTGCCGGTGACAAAAAAGTTTTTTCACTACGAAGTCACTCGACCTACGGCTTATGTAATGTCTTCTTAGGAATTTAATTACAGCACTTTGTTAATCTGAATCTGATCTTATTGTAAGGACATAAGGTTCTAAACCGCTAAGGAGTTGCTACTGGAGTACACATAATTAGTCTGCGAACTGCTGGTCTCGTGGGACCGTTCCCAACGTAAGTAATAAGAACTCCTATTAAATTATTTACGCCTGGTTCCTAGTTCACGTTTCCAGGTTAAATTCTAAAGGACTGTTCTTATAAAAATCATTCTTTATTGGAATAAATTTCTATACGTGAATTGATTAATAATTTGTCAATAATATAGCCCGGGAAAGTAGTACAGCCTCACAGATTAGGGGGTACAATTATGAATTAAATGTACATTTTAAATGAGTTATTAAATTTTGTGGGGCTTTTGATGAAACTTTTAGTCTCGATGACTATTTTTAATCAAGTACTCTGCTTCAAGACATCGGTGATTTCATACAAATTTAGTCGAAATACGAGATGATTGATAAAGTCGCTTAACTGTGGTAGGGCCACGGAACAATGTTCGCTAGCCCACGAATGGGCAGGTCCGTCCGGGTATGTACCATGACCTCACAGAAGACCGGCGTGAAGTAGAAGTGCTACACTTCTGCGTTTCGTCTAGTGAGTGAGGTAGCCGGGGCCCAGTTATTAAAAGGTGGCAAGGCATCTGCAACCCTACGGGTGTTTATGCTCGTTTGCCACATAGTCACAAAAAATAAATAAAAAAATTTATTTAAGTGTGTTTCACATTTCGATGAAAGATTTTTTTTAATCTTACATACGGTTCAATGTCGCTAGAATTTAATTCAAGATACTCTAGCATCCCGAGTTCGATCCCCGGTGCCGGCACTAATGAAATTGTCAACTTTAAGTGCTGAATTATCACGTGCTCAGCGGTGAAGGAAAAGGTTGCGAGGAAACCTGTATACTTTCGAAATAACAACAAAAAATATTTAGATGATATAAAATCAAGCCCATCAATGCACAATGGGTTCGCGCGGTGCCCAAATACCCTCTATAGGTACAGAGGAGACCTCTGCCCAGCAGTGGGACAAAAATGGGCTGTTTATATATGTGCACGTATTCACTTTACACTATGCAGTTCAAAAAAATCGTGTCTGTTGTATGGGAGCCCAACTTAAATGTTTTTTTATTATTTTTTTTAGCATTTGTTGTTATAGCGGCAACAGAAATACATCATCTGTGAAAATTTCAACAGAGTAACTATCATGGTTCGTAAGATACAGCCTGGTGACAGACGATTAGACAGAAGTCTTAGTAATGGGTAGGTACCATTTGGGTACGGAATCCTAAAAAGTACTTCCAGTGTTTCCGTCAATACCTAAAACTAGAATCAAACAATAAAAAATAACTATACTGCTGTCATTTTAGTAATTACTTAAAGTAGTCACCGGGTGAGGTATGCAGAACGAGGAAAATGCCAAAGCCACTTCCCCGAATTGATTTGCATTGGAAACCTAATTACTATCTTCTATTAGTTCAGTGCCTAGGACGTCTAGGCCGTAGGGAAATGAAACTAAATGGGGGAACCAAATAAGCAAAGATTTTACTTTCGACGTACGGGAGGTCGGAATATTTCAATCTATTTGCATATCGACCTAGTAGTGAATTGATTCTAATGAATTATCACGCGGTACGACCAAGGGCTTACTAAAAGAAAGAAAGAAAGTAAGAAAGAAATGTTGATTTGGTACTTAAACAAGTGATTGATGAAACTTTTTACCTACAATAAAAAGGAGTTTCTAAAAAATATTGTATCTCTTTCCCCCAAGGTTCCACTGAAAACCAGCATTCACGGAGGTTGTCAACTTCTTAATATGAAACTGAGTGGTGACCATTTTGGTTCATTTTAATCATAGGTATTTAGTTTTAGCATCTATTGTTTTTTTTTTATTATGTGCCAAATAAATGTTTCTTTCTTTCTTTATAAATGCACCAAATAGGTTTCTAAGTCCGAAATTTATTATCTCATGCTGAGTTCACGGAGTTAGTAAACTTGGCGAAAGGATTTTCAGTAGTTTTAAAAGTAAGTATAAACGTTATTAATTTTTTTTGGCTGTGGTTTTCGCTATTGCACGAGTGGTTAGGTCCGTCCGGGTAAGTACCACGAGCTCACAGAAGACCGGCGTGAAGTAGAAGTGTTATATTTCTTTCGTCTGGTGAGCGAGGTGACTTTATTAAAAGGTATCGACGCATCTAAAACGTTACGGGTGTTGCAAATGTCCATTGGCGGCGGATATCACTTAACATCAGGTGAACCGCCAGCTGGCTTGCAAACTTATCACTTAAAAAGAAATGAAAAGCAGGAAAGTTTCGTCATTTTCCGACTTAACGCGACTATCTGGCTAGCGAGCAGGCGGTTAACCGGATGTTGAGTGATCACCACACCTCATGAACATCTAAGGCACATACTTACAGATGCGTTGCCGGCTACCTCACTTCGGTGAGTGAGGTAACGTGTTAGGTATACGCCGGCATACTTATACCGGTCGTCTGTGAAGGCGTAGCAAACCAGAAAGTTTGCGCCAGAGGGTTCGATGTGGGTTCGATCCCCACTACTGGAAAAATATTGTGTAATGAACATAGTGCTTTTCCACTGTCTGGGTGTTTATTTGTTTATAATACTTATTTATTTAAAAAAAAAACAGAAGTAGGTTTATGTATTTTCATCAGTTTTGGGACTAGAGCACGTTGTGTAAAAAAGGTGTCCTGAAATATTTGTTTATTTATTTAATCAAATTAAATGCTTTAAAATGTATATAAGGGTTTATAAAAAACCAGAATGGTGCTAACAGTTGCCTGAGGTCAATTGTAGCATTTGTATTAAGTCAAATATTAATACGGTATGACACTTACTATGCGTTGCTAATACTCAATACTTCATATAATTGTCATGTCATAATCGTATTGAAATGTGGTTGGATATAATCTGTGCCTATTCGATCTGCTCCCGCCCTATGGAAACTTCTAAAGCCTCTATAGGGCGTTACCGCCTCCTTGGGGTTAAAATATATACATATATCTACATTAATCTATACGTCGCAAATGTCGATGTACTAAAATATATAAGGAATACAAAACGTAGAATGGTTGTTTTAAATAAACTGTTTAGATTAGGTTGGATACAAAAACGTTTTTATTTAAAAAACACAAACAATATAAATATAAACTATAATTAGTTACATTTTAAAATTTGTGTAGTTAAGGAATTTTTAATTATTTTGTTTTTATTGGATGACTGAGGAATTCCCCAGTTTTTTGATATTTATTTAATTTTATTAATTAATTTTTTTTTTTATTTTTTTTTTATTTTTTTTCTTTAACTGGATTACGGATTGTACTTTTTTAAAATTTGTTAGTCAAAGATGCGACATTACTAAATAAAGTGATACAGTATAACTTCATAATAACAGATTTTACTTAGAAAATTAGTATTCTGTCGTCGATTTAAATTGTTAATAACCTATCTTCCTTTGATTATATACTTGACTAGTATATATTCAAAACTATCTTCGCTATTACCCATAAACTATATCAAATCAAAATAAATATGAACTTACGCATATTTCTGATATAATAATTTAAGTTCGTAAATAACGTAATACAATGTTATGCGCCAGTGCATCTGACGTTTGACATTTTATATGCGTAAAAAAATACTACTTTAATACCTATTATGGTCATCGGAGGATTTCCATTTGACCACTACACTGCAGTAGACTTTCGGACGTTATATGCCGAAAAACATTGACATTTAACTTGCAAAAATGCTGTACAATGTTTGTATATTATATACAATATGATGTAATAGACCTATGTCTTCCATTTAAAATTTATTTTACGTCATAAGTACAGTTTCATGTGCCAGTGCTTCGGACGTTAGGCGATTGACGTTTTACATTTTTTTTTAAAACCAGCAGACAGAA